GTCAATAGACTTCAGAAGTGACCCCTGCCTGTGTGCAGTGGCTAAGGAAATCATTGACTAATAGCATTCTTAGATTTTAAAAACATACTCTTAAGTGTGAATACGTACTATTGAAAATACCACAGTGTTTCCACAACTCTTGAGTAAGCATACGCAGAATTTGGATATAGCACTGTAGTGTCTTTTATAAGCTTTATGGGTATCTATTCGGCTTGGAAATCTCGTTTCTCAAAGTGTTTACAAAACTTCTGCCACGGGAATGTTCTAGTTAATGAATAACCTTTCAGCATGCCCTTTACTAGCATGTGATTTTCCTCTTTGATGTTATGCGTGATCTTGGCTTAATTGGATATAGCTTTAAAGATCTACATGGGCCTCTCTGAAAAAGCAGTTCTGCTGATTAAATCTACTGACTGGTCAGAACTGGAATCCTGTACATTTCCCTGCCTTCTGCCAGCTGTGGGGAAGGCAAGCTGCTGCCATTTGGAATCTCAAAGTTTCATGTTGGTTTGGTTTGTTTGTTTCACCTCTGGCACCCTATCCCAAGGATAAACCAAACCATAGGTCAGCGCTGGTGCATCTGTGCATTTCTGGATTTTGGAAATACTGAGATTTAGGAGGAGAATTTGGGTTTGTATTACAACATGAGTTATGAGGGCTCTTTTATTTCCTTCTCCACAGAGGTGGTGTTCTTTAGTTACTGTAGTGGAAATTTACTTCTAAAAAACAGCATATGAAATTATCTCTGTGGTTTTGTTGTCGTCTCCTTAACTTGGACTGTCTTTTCTTTGCTTCTCTGTAACGGAGATGCTAGTAGTTACCAGGTATAGCTGATCACTGTTGTCTGCCTCTGTGAACCACTAAGGTAACTGTATGTTTGCAACCACAGTTCTTCACAGCATTGCCTTTGCTTCATAATAGTCAACGTCTTAGTCTTCATAAGCTATTAATCTGCAATATCTCTGTAGTTGGTAGTTGTGATGTAAGGTGCACCTTACAGGGTAATGATCGTGGCTTTTATTCCAAAACACTGAATAACCCAACAGACACCAGAAAGACTATGAACAAGGTAAAAGTTATGACAACATGATGTGGAAGTAGAGTTGTCATGTTTCCGCCACTTCTGCCCCTGGCAACAGAGTACTTTTTCCATAAAACATCAGCCAGTCTCTGACTTAGAGTCAATATTTATGCAGGCTTATCATGACTAATTCTTTTCATGGCCAAGTGCTGCCTGGTGCAGTGTTCTGCATTTGTTAGGTGAAGGAAATCCTTCAGAGAAGTTCAGCCTAGACTTTGAAACCAAACCAAGCCTGCCTGAGATGAATTCCAAAGCCAAACAAATTGGAGAATGCAGAGTGTAGTAAATAGTGACTTCAGAAGCACTTCAAAGTGGGACATGGTGATTTTCCATGAGACTTAGGTCTTTGGGTTATTACATGGTTGTCAGAATTGCCACACTGGCTACGAGCTTCCCAAAGCTGTGTGGAGATCCTCATGCCTGTGAGGTAGATATGGTATTATCACCATTCATATAGATGGGGAGCCAAGTCCCTGAGGCTTTATCTGACATGTGAGTGTGGTGGGGCATATGCCTAGCCCTCCGGCTGTGAAATATGTATGTGGCCAGACTCAATGCAACTGTGTTCTGAGGGTTGTGTAGGATCTGAATCCAATCTGTCAAATCCGAGACAACTGCTGTAGTTATTCTGTCTGTCCTGCAGGCATTCCTAGCTACATGTATTTTAAGTGTCTCAATAAAAGCCCCTGAATTTACAATGTACCTTATTGCAGTCAATAGTAGAAACAACTCAATGTTTACACTTAAGGGACCAGAACTGGGAAATTTTAGGCTCCAATTTGGATTTTTTTTTTTTTTCTCGACACTGGTTACCTCTTTCCATCATATCAGGTTTTATTTTTCCTCAGATACACTTTTTTAAGGTTTTCTTCATTCAGTACCTGTGATTTGCTGCTACAATACAGAACCAAGTTTGTCATATCCATTTAATACGTCACCCTTTGTATGTGAATCACTCATTACTTTCTACTTGTCTTAAAAAATACTGTTTGACACTAGTTACAGACATCTTAATGCTTTATGGTTGCCACGTATTTTCAATACATTTTGTGTTGTGGTGCATCAGCAATTTTTAATAATATAGGAATTGGTTTTGCTCACACTGCACAAAACCCCCTTATTCTGATTTTATTAATTATCTATTAGACATGCTTTGAGAGCCAATTCTAAAATGTGGGGGGGAAGAAGGCAGCATCCCAAAAAATGTATTAATAGAAAGTGATGTGTTTTGACTGCAGTGTCATTACTAATAGGAGTTTCAAAGCAGTATGGAAGGTTTGAGAACTTACTCTTTCCTCTGCAAATGTAAGCTGCAATATGCACATTACTGATGAAAGAATGTTAGCATGGAGACAAGAAAGTATAGCCAATAGGACAAAGCTTATTCGTACTATTTGTACTGTCAGTGGGCATGAGTTGTAATTGTACATTGTGTAATTGGAATATCCTATCTTACACTGATTAGTCTTGTTTGCAAAGACAGAAAAACTTTTGTGTTTAAAACCAAGAGCTCTCATGGGCTCTTGAAGGGAAGCTCAGACTGTATGTTCATAGGACAAACTGGAGTAGGACGGACAGGTCCTACACCTAAGAAGGAATAACCCCAGGGAAGCAGCTCCTCTGCAGAAAGGACCTGGGTGCCCTGAGGGACAGTAAGCCAGACAGAGCAGGGCCAGCACAGGGAAGGAAGTGATTAACCCCCTCTGCTCAGCATTTTTTAGACAGTATTCCAAATATTGTGTCCACTAAAAAAAAAAAAAAATGCGGGGGGGAAGATAAAACTGAAGGGAGTTGAGCAAAGGGCCACCGAGATGCTTGAGAGCTAGAACACATGCCCTTTGAGGAAAGGCAGAGGAACAGGGGCTTGTTCAGCCAGCAGTAGCCAGCAGAAGGGACAATTTTGGGGGCACTGAACAGCAGCTGCCTTGTATATTAAGAACAACTTTGAAATCCCCAAACTGCCATAATCACACAGATTCCGTAACTGACTTCCAGTGGACCTTCCTCCTTAATTCCGCTACTTTCAGAAGGAGGGTCTAGAAAATGGAGGGACTTGATGATTTCCTCTGTGTTGACCAACAGCAACCCTTACCTCAGACAAATACAAGAAACCCCAATTCATTTAATACTCCTGCCATCCCCATACGCAGTTTGCAGGAGGTTAGGAAGGTATGTAAGAATTACAAAAACATACTTTGATTCCTCTGCCAGCATGAAGAGGCTTTGAACTTTGCAGACATGAAATATTCCACATCAGTCAGTATTCTTCTAAGCTTGACTCACTGGAATTGCAAAAATTCCTTTTTTAATTTGTAATTGTTGGGTTTGGGGGTTTGTACAACATGAAAAAAAGTGAGCAAATAAAGAGTGATTGTGTGATGTTCAGCCCCCTTACCTACTGCTGGTTTTGGCATCCACAAGTGTGGGTACCATGGAAATCACAAAATATGCTGCTCTGCATCTGAGAATACTTTCTGGATGTCTTGGCTGGATATCAGTTACTCTCTCCAGGTATTCCATGTGCTACAGTAAAAATAATTGCACTTAAATACAACCCCCAGACCTTCAGTATGTGTAATGGACAGCTTGCTACCCACTTGCCATAACATCCTGGAGCATATGCAAGGCAACTTTTCCCCCTGCAACTGAGGTGTGAGTTACCTTTCTTTAGTTGGAGGAAAAATGTATACGTTGAAGGTTACCCTGAAGGATGCTTCAATCTGAATGCTACCATAGCTTATGGTTACTTGTTCATGTAATTGTAGTTTATGGGTGAATGATGTTGTTGGGCCAAAAGCCAAAGCTGACTAGCTTAACTTTGGGCTTTCTTTAGAAAAAGAAGCCAAAACAACTCTCTTCTTGTTGACTATTCTCAAATGAGTAGGAACTATGTGCTCGGTGAAGAGCACAATTTGACTTACTGCTCTTCCCTCCCTGCTCCCCACTTTATAGTGTATGTAATTGGAAAAGGAGCCTTCTAAGCATAGATAGTTATTTGGTCTTTAGTTTCTGATCATGACTGCCTTAGAACTATTCATTGTCTTGCTGTATACAGAAAGTGAATTGCCTCACTTCAGCCCCAATACTGTTCAACAAATGGTGGTCTTGAGAGAGCTTCCATCACAGATGACATGCCTGAACGTTATTGTGATGCTGTCTACGATGGCTGGCTCTGCAGGTTGAAAGGGAGAGGCAAAATAAGTTACAAAGAGTAGCTGTCTTTCCAGTGGTAGCAATGATATCCTCAGATCAGGGTTGAAGTTAATTCTGTCAAAAAAACTCCATGATTTTCTGAGGTTAAGTACGAATGCAGGTTTCCTGCATTTCACCTTTCATGTCAGGATCTTTTTTTCATACATGAAATTTATTGTTGCTAAAGCAGACAGTGATAATGCATTTGGTAATACATTATAGGAATGGTCTTTGGTTATGTGGGAAAACTTAATTAATAATTTGGTTTAGTAAGAAAAAAATCCTGAGTTGTATTTATAAATATTTTGCCCTCCATGTGTAAAGGTAATGTTTATATGCCATTGAAATTGATACAGCAACTACTTATATTTTTATAGATAATTAGGCATGAACCAAAGAAGATGGAGATGTGTATCACTTTTGAAAAGTTTTGTGACAGAAAACCCTATTTGTATTATTTTTAAGTTTTCTGTCCTTACGGTCTGAAAAATCATTTACAGTATTTTATTTTAAATAATGTTTTTGAGCATTGTTGTAAAATCTGTCGGCATTGTATTTCCATGAGAGTATCAAAAGTGAAATTGAGCATTTTATTCTTAAGAAAGGAGTAGGTTAATTGTCCATATGTTTAAATGACCTGTAAATTGCATGGGTTGTAATAGAAGACACGGGCTCCTCAAATGTTTTTATGAACCTCAACCAGGTCACATCTCTCTTTTTCATGCAGGTATTTTTGGCCAGAAGCTGGAAGATACTGTCCGATACGAAAAGCGATATGGGAACCGCCTGGCTCCTATGTTGGTGGAACAGTGCGTGGATTTTATCCGACAACGGGGGCTAAAGGAAGAAGGCCTTTTTCGACTGCCCGGGCAGGCTAATCTTGTTAAGGAGTTACAGGATGCATTTGACTGTGGAGAGAAGCCTTCTTTTGACAGGTAAAATCCTCCAGCTGTCCCCCACTCTCTGAAGCCTAGACAGGACATGGTCTGCTGTACTGGCTGATCCACGGTGCTGTAAAACACGTGGCACCAACAGATAGAATGACAGGTTTTTGTAGGTTTTTCTGTATGTTTCCTATTACCACTCTAAAATGTCTTCTTTTTTTTCTGACTTTGATGTCTGATTTCAAAGCGTTTCTGGAGAATTTCCATTTGTGAAAAGCTGGTTAGGAAAAGTATTGCTAATGGTTTGGCTTAATCAAAAATATCTGGATTGCCTTGATCTTAGTATCATTTGAAATACAGTGGTGATGCTGGCATTTGGGCAGTTCCACAAAGGAAGAATTTCTCTTATCACCTATTTCAGTATGTTCTGTTACCTATAAAACTGACTGGAAGGGAAGTCTACTTTTATGTATTTCTTTATAATTTTGAGCCTTTGGTCTTAAAATAAAAGTTGATGTGACCATAATAACAAACCTATGTTGTTTTGCGGGTCGAGGTCCAATTTATATTCCAATATTTATACAGTTTTGCAAAGCTAATGAGAATTTTCTGGGCCAAGGAAGAACCCAGTCTTGTTCACAGAGCTGTGTATGACTTCAGTCTTTTGTAAGATTAATTTTTTTTTGTGCAAGTTCAGCTCTCCTCCTGTAAGCATTGATAGCAGTAGTCCACATATTCAGAGTGGGCAATCAGAGAAACAGAACCCGTGGATTATGAATGCCACATGGCCTTTTTAACTCTGATCAGAATTAATACAATGGCAATGAAATTCCAGTTCAACAGAATGATAAACAGTGGTTGTCCTCAGTGTGTGCTCTAAGTGACATCTGTAACACACCTCCAAAATGGAATCAGGATACTTCATTCCAATTGAGGGTCTAATGTGAATTCAGACGAAGAGGCAGGTTTTATTTTGTGGGACCTTTGAATGACAGCAATGCAAGTTAACTGGAAGGAAAGCGTAGCTTGATCTTTCAGTGCAAAAACATGCCATGATATGAACCTGATCGCTGGAAATATTTACTTCCCTCCCTTCCCTATTCCTATGAAGTGAACAAATTTGTTATGCATGAAGGTATGTGTATCACAGATGCACAGAAGGCAGACATCTGTAATGCTGTTTTATCTCCAACAGTTTCCTCAGTCCTGACCCTCACTTTAAGAAATGTCAAGAATTTATAATGCGCTGGAAATGAAAACTGAATTGTCTTCCTGTGAGGTTTATTAGTTTCTCATCAGAAGGTGAGAGTTAGGATAATTGACCAGAAAATAGCTTTAAGGAGCCAGAGGACTGTGGGAAGTGACAGTCTTAGCCGATAAATGTTTTTAGGGTACTCACTGACTGTTCAAATACTGTGTAACTTATTTAAAAATTATAAAGGAGCATCCATTGGGTATGTTTTCCTTACTTGGACATAAGATAAATACTACTGGTCATGTCTCTTGCACAACCTCTACCAGAGATACAAGTAGGCAAATGGCAGAAACAAAAGGTTATTTTTTCTGTGCCTGTAAACCAAATAATTGTGGAGGAAAAGCTTAAGGAAACAAGCTGCCCCCAAACTCCAGGAAGATGATGTACTGAACACCCCGCTGAGAGGTACAGCTTGAAAGAGGTGCACAAGTTCCATCTATTCAAAACAAATGAGACCAGGCCTCAGCCACATAAATTTTTTTTTTTTTTTTTGCAAGGTTATCTAGCAACATCTGTAGCACACAGTAATGAGCCCCAGGAACAGGCATGCTAGCTGAGCTTTAGCAGATGAAATGGAGAAGAGCTTTTACACACTACTGCTGTGAAGAAGGCACATAATCTATATTATAGCAATTAGAAACATCAGCAGGAGTTGCCTATAGCTGGTCCTGCAGCTCTGCTTCTGAAGCTGAGTATTTATAGAACATTGACCTTGTTATGTCTGCGTGTCTCATTGTGAAGGGTACTTTTTCTGTTTACTTTTTCACATTAGAGTTTGGAGAGGTGTGATAGTCCAGAAGAGAGAGCAATTGTCCAAAAGTCAGCCAGACATAAATTCTGTTCTCAGCCATTGTTTCCATTGGGCATCTACTTTTTTTCCAACCTTTTGTTCCATTTGTAAACTTTTGAGGTGAAGTTCATTTCACAGTGTTTATAGAGTGCCTGTGCTTATCTTGGTAACTTTTCATTGTGCTGAACAGCAGCATGGTCTCCAGGTTTGATGCAACCTGTTTGGCAAGTTGAGCTCTTGGAAAGTGGACAGAATATGAAAAGTTCCTGTAGAAAAAAGAAAAAATTACATACATTAGGGGTCCATGCTTACTTTCTCTCCTGAACCTCCAAATCCACTATGTTTAATCTGTAATTACATGTTATTATTAGTCAAAAGTTCTGGTAGGCAAAATCTACCTAGGTTCTGTTTATTAATTTATATTTTGCCCATTCTCATACATCGATAATAATAAAGATTTTTGCCGTTAGAGCTGAGTTGACAGTTTTGTTGATGGGGAACAAAACACAATGGAATCCAGGTCATGCTTCCATTGCGGTGCCGGGTCACCGGCTCTGACTGGGAGAAGCTGCTGTCATCAGTGTTGGAACTAATACAAAGAGCTGATGTTTGAAGAGTTTGCCGTTTCTCATACTGACATTTTTTTCTGTGTATAAGTGCACATAAGTCAAACAAAGACTTAAGAACAAATGAAGATGCTTTGAAGTGTGTGTGTAGGCTTATCTATATGTTTGTGTGAGAAATTATTATTAAATAATCCTCCTTTTCTTTATGCTTTCTTAGCTAATTCAGTAAAATACATAACTTGTAGAATTAAAAGCAAAGAACAAAGGTAAGATCGTACAGCCATGATTAGTACTCCTTTAAAATGTCATCTCTGTTTTAAGATGGTTGCACCATCTTAAAACATCTTACAGGCATTGGGAGATGGAGTTCAAAGGCACAGATCTGCTCTTTTGCCCAGAGTTCAGCTGCTGTCCACAGTTCTGTGGAGACCCTGCGTGTCTCCCTGCTTGTGTTCCTATCTGCACCCCTTTGGTAAAGAAGACCACAGAACGAATGCAAGCAGAACAAATGTAGCACATTTGAAAGAGGTAGTAAAATAGCTTTGCTCAAAAGAAAATGCAGCCTTGTTTTGAAACATAAAACATGTTTGACAAATGGTAGCTCTCACATGAGTTAGCAGCTGGATGTTCTGATACTGAAGTCAGTTATAAAAACACAGAGTGAATCCAGGACAAGTTGGAGAGTGGCAAAAACCTTCATGTATTCGTTTGATCTTGGTCTTGTAGTTGGATAAGATGTTGCTGAAGAATCATGAGCTATGTGTATGAGAATGGAACCAGTATTTGAAATTTCTCAAACTCACAGAATGAGAAAACCAAGTATCTGATCTGAAACATCCAATACCCCAGTCCCCCTAGTATGAAAACTGGAACATCAGCATTTCTTCCAGTCTTGGAAAGGGGAGGTACAGCTGAAACTGCTGTAGGCCTTTTGTGTGAAAAGGAAAAAAAAAAACACCAACAACTGAAAATTGGATGTCAGCTTAAAAACAAAAATCAATAAATACCTCACTCCCTCTGTATGTATCTGCGCATATTGTGAAATCTGCTTTAAGGAACTAATGGTGTAATTAAGCAATCACTCATGCTTTACTGTTTGAAATATCCTTGGTATTTCCAGTACAGCTCCACTTCCGTGTAAAAATGTCCCCTTTGCTGGGGAATCCGTTTTGCTTGCTCTTGGGGTATGTGCTTCTCTCTGCTTGTGTGGCTTATATTTTAAATTTAAAGTCCGTCAGCTCCTTTACGAATCATACGTTTGTAATGATACAAAGTGGATTATGACTATTTGTTCCATAAAATTAGCATAGCGAATATGGCACTGCATAAGGAAAATAACATGTGTTTGTTGTACAATTTTTACCTACAAAGGGTGTGCAAAATTGTATTTCTCTTATTGTATTATGTCTTTCTATCTACTTTTCATCACAATTCCTACCAGATGACATGAGAGTTAAGATTGCTGAAGGAGAAGAAAATATTTGAAATGTCACTGAAACAAATATTAATACTTACATGATTGATCAATGTATGTGGCTTGGATTTTCATAACTACTATCACTGATAATATAGTCCAGTAGTTCAGAAGAATTTAAAGTTACATAGCTCACCAGCCTGCATTTGTGTGTATGCACAAGAGAGAAGGAAAACACATAAATGCATATTTAGCAAAACAAAATCCCTATTACATTCTCTCATGGGTATGAATTCTTCTGAAGAAGAATGCAGTACCTTATATGACAAAATATTACTTACTGCTCTAGTCATCATTGCAATCAGCTGAGAAAAGGGTATATAAGTGGCAGTATGTGATAGCTGGCAAATGCTAACTATTATTTACTGGAGCCAAATAATCCAGAATGTAGAACTTGTATGTTCCTGTGCATTTAATCACTGGCATTGTTGAAGCAAAGACAGGCAATGATGAGGATGGTTCTAATGTAATATCCTCAAGGTGAGAAGGACCACATGCACAATTCTTCTCCTCCAGAGACAAAGAATGTTTTAAAATTTTGGTGAATGCAAGAAATTGGACCTGTCTCAGTGGGGCTGCAGTCTGCACTGGCACTGTACAGACTGCAACTAGACATTGAGTTGGAAATCACTGGTTATGAAAATTGTCCTTTTATTTTCCAAATACAAGCCTCTATATAAGAATTTATTTATTTAGAAGCAGATAGTTCCCCACAAGGATGGGGCTTTATTCCCTTCCTAGTGGGAAAGTGCAGTAATCCCTAAACAAAACTTTTTTATGTGAAATGAATTCTTTACTAGAAAGCTACTTCCTGCCAAACACAAATGGCCTTAGGCCTGTGAAAATTCCTTTTCGTTTCTGCCTATTTCAGGCTTCCTTCCCTGATCCTCACAATCTGTTCATCAGTTATGCCTCTGGAGCCACTTCCATGTCCTTTCTAATTCCAGCCATCTTTCTAACCAGCTA